ATTAATTTCTTTCCTATTACCGTTACGGTTTATAGGCTCGAATTTTTCGTCTGCCTGCCTCCCTCACTCTTCTCTTTGATGTGGGTTTACCTAGAGGACATTTGAGATGGGACTGCACGGAAACCCATGGAAAATCCCAGTCGTACAGTCGGCCGATTGTGCAGAGTCCTAATGTATTTTTCTGTCACACTGACTAGAGGGACACATTAGGCCACTACACCGTGCCTACCTTCCGAAATTTTTGTGCGGGAGTATTCTTAAGCGGTCACCTATCCGAGTACTAACCGCGTTAAACGCAGCGGCCCTCGGATGTTCGCCAGAGCAACACCTAACTCACGCAACCATTATGATCGGTTAGCAGTTAACGAAATAATTCAATAGAAATGAGATTCTCATATCCAACGTGATATGAAATCCAAGTTATCTCGTTCAATTTTTCAATTTGGCAAATTGTGAAATGATGCATCTTCTAGACCGTTTTCTGATGAATAAATTTCATCATGAACTCTTTTCTCTTCTCCGTTATTTACGGCAATATTTGACCAAATTACGGCAAGTACCGTCTAAAACGTCGCTAACAAATCACCGAATGTCCAATATAACACTTTTAGGTCCATTGAAGTTCATCATTAGACTTCATGTTTTCGGGGTTCCTGAACATAAATATGTTAACCATTTTTGCGACCAGCATGACTTGGATTTCATATCATGGTGGATGGTAATTGGGACTACTTTTTTTCATTTCCATCAAATTATTCCGTTAACCGTTGAAGTTAAGGAAAAATCTTATAAAAAAATGATTATGTATTTTTTAATGAGGAATATTTTTTATTGGAAACTTTTTCGCCTAACTCGGACCATTTCCGCAAAATCACGTTATAAATAATTGAATTGTTATAAGTAAACAAAACTAACTACATTTCGCAAAAAAGGTTAAGATATGCTTATTTAGGGATCCCAAAAACATGAAGTCCAATGATAAAATTCAGTGGACTTAAAAAAGTGTATACGGGACCTGTCACATCATATAGACTAAAATTCTCACGTAGCTAATCATTCTGCTTATATTTAAATACACCACCGCTGTTTGTTTTTGGAAGTTCATCGTTAATGACATCTTTCCGTCGGTGTGCAATTTATCGATTAGTGCGCCATTCCCCTTTGGTCGACCCCTGTCCTACTGCGGTGATATATGCACCTATGTACATCTCTCGGTCGCGTTATTTATTGCAGCTAGACCCGACCAAATATATGTACCATACATTGTGATTCACCGCATTGTTCGCCACCCCTCTTTCCTAGTTGCCCTTGGTATGGAATCGATTAAGTTCATGACTCTTCCTCTTCCTTAGGTCTTTTTGTTCTCTGATTTTTGTTGGTCAACACTATTGTTTAATTCAGATAATTTTTTTCATCCAATGAGAAAATTTTTGTACTCGAAAACGTTATGAACATCTGCCGACAAGAATACATAATCTGGGCCATTTCTCCTCCGTATTGTTATGGTCCAAAATAGATTGTCTTACAATAAGGTTTTGCCACCTTCTTCTCAATAGATAAAAAAATTATTCATCTGTTCGAAATAATTTGTTCTCTTTAGAAATTCCGGATATAAATCATTTGCAAGAATACTATAGTTTTCTAGAACTTCAATTGATGAATTCCAGTTTTTTAAAATTTTTCCGCTTAGCCAGCCAATGGTATAAAAAAGCCACGCTGCGGAGTTTACCTCGTATGATTAGGATCAGGAAAGGAGATATGCACTCGAAATCGCATCTTTTCCCAATTTCTTCTCCATTTATAAACAAAAGATATTAGTAATCTCAGAAAATTATAGAGCGGTCCACTTTGCCCTGCCCTCCCCTACATTTTTTTTGGAAAAACAGATTCTGTACTTTCTAAAAAAAGTAATTTTCAACCCAGTACTTGTCCTTACAGCTATAAAAGTACAATTCAATTTTTTGATAATCAGTTCACCCGGAAAAGGTATTTTTCATTTTACCTTTTTCGAGAAGTACAGAAAATTTTACATGAAATTTAGTCAAGAATAAAGGGGTCGAATGGACGGCGAGGTAAGATGGACAATGGTACTAGTGAAAATATTTTTAAAAATGGCTCAACCGACTTATATGGACAAAACGGGTTCACATATAGTGTGATAGTTTGATATTCACATTCTGAGGAAAAGTACTTAACGGCAATTTTTTTTGCGCGCGGAATTACGAAACGGCCAGCAATGTCTATTTTACCCGTATTTACCCTAAGCAAAATCATCAACCTGTAAAAAAATGTCTTCATAGCAATTATTTCATTATCTATTTTACCCCGCATCACTATTAGCAAGACTGACATTCGCCCAGTAACAGCGGGAGAAAAAATGAAGCATAAAAAGTGAAACATTATTTTGATCATCATATTATAATTCATATTGTTAATAAGCGAATACCAACCACTCTCATCAATACCTATGTCGATCTAAACTTTCTGCTAGTTTCGAAGGAAAAAAAAAACATTTTATAAGGTGGGTAACCGAACAAATGGATTGATATAGTGATTGATAACTTCAAATTCAATTTCGATCTATAAGGACAGGTGCTAGGTAACAAATTATTTTTTGCAATACTTGCTTGAAAAGTACATTTTTTGGGTCGGCTTAGAATGCAAGAAGCGCTCGTTTCCCACACGATCTAGAACGTTACATACTTCGTTTACAAAAACAACGACTTTACCCCCGCCTCGAACGGTGAACTCGCTTCGATCAGTGAGTCGACAGATATACAAAATTGCGTTTGTTACGCGTACATGTGGAAAAGCACAACTTCAAGCATTTATATTTTTCCATAAAATTTTGAATTTTTAAACCAATAGCTTGATGTTAATTGTGTTTCAGCAGACCGTATACATCGTGTAGGTAAAATGTATGTAAAAATCAAATCAGTACTAAAAATTTCGGAGAAATTTTCCCTCTATAAACCGCCTTTTCGTACTGACAAACCGCTCATCCAAAAATGATACTGGAGAGTTTTCAATTTAAAGTCTGTCAATAAATGTCATACTGGTGGACAAAAAGAAGCCGATAGGTATAAACTTAGTCATTAGGTAGAAGCTATTTTTCTGCGGAGTCCTATCGTAAAAAAGAGAAAGGAAATCGATCTCGAAATATCTCAAAAATCTCGAATAAGCGTAAGCGTAAGACTGAAACCGAAGCGCCATTAAATGAGGAGATGAAAAGGCGCGTGCGCAGCACGCACGGCCTGTCTCGTAGTGGAAAAAGATAAGCAAAAAAAAATTTCATTCATATTATTGTCCATGTCTCAGAAACTGTCAATTTCATTTAAAAATATCAAAAAAGGTTCTCTGCATTCCCCAAATTTTTCTGCAGAAAAAACTTCTTATCATCCATGGAAGCCCCTACAAAGAAAGCTCGCTTAATAAATTATCTTAGCCCCTTTGACCAGAAAATCATCAAATTGTATTCTAGTTTCAATTTCTCACATTGATCGTTCCAGTACTGAATTAAAATTTTTCACAACAATATTAATGTCTCAGAGACATCATACAACATACATTACTCTCTAATGTTTAATGTAAACAAACATTCGAACCAGTTACATAGAAATCGGGGGTTGGCATCCGTAATTGCAATTATAATTGAGCATTCTAATGGATACATGTGCCTGTGACTTGTACCCCCCCGTGCAGTTCGGTCTAACCAACTCCCTATCCCCATGATATCTTATTACGCGGATCGAATAATCGCATCTCTGCGGATGTGGATACTTTCCGCGGAGGCTAACCGTTCCGTCATGCTATGTCTATACATTTGCATCGTGTACAATGCACTTTAATTTAAAAAGTAAAATATTTTCTGACTGCTTCCTTGATACGGGGGGTTATCAAAGTCATACAAATTGCATAAAAAAAAAATCTGCATTCTTTCTTTAATAAAGTTGCGTTATGTGTACCCCATTTTTACCATGACAAGAAAAGCGTGTAGGAATATTAATACGATTACTCCGATATATAGCGCGCGAATTCATGATTGTATATACGTACGTTCTACTAGTAGCGGAACGATTATTTAACTCATCTGTACTGCGGCTCACGATTGGAAAATACCGTTTTATTTTTTATGAAGTATGTATGTCGTCGAATGCCAGTGAACTTTTAATGCTAGTCATTGGTCATCAATCACTCAGTGGAGTGATTATTTTTGTCACACGACAATTGAAACCTAGAGACAGTTACAACAAGTATTGAGGAATTTATCTAAAAGTATTCGAAATATGGTAGAGGAGGAGATAACGTCTGAGTTTTTTGGTCAGGGGTGAATGGTGGAATATTCATTAGTTGGATGACGTATTGTCCAACTACTGTGGATGGTGTTGAAGATGATTTAAATTCATGACAGGAGCAAGTGACTCCCCGCTCGGTTATGACTTTTGAAGGTATTTTTTCAGAAGAATGGGATGCGAATAAATGAGATTTACAATTTTTCAGAGTTGAAACTAAAAACTGGGTTTTGTGAAAGAGAGTAACAGTTTATAGAAGCAGTTTTGTAAATGTCTCGTAAGCGAGTAGGTTCACAAGAAAATATGGAATGACTTTTGTTATAGTAGAGCATAAAATTCAATGAAACATAAGTCCCGATTAATACACAATAAACAAAAAGTTTCAGCTTTCAGGGGTATATCCCTAAGGATTCTTGACGCTAACGATCATGACCCTAAACTTTAACGATTGAATCACTGAAATTCAGGGACAAAATTCCGTGGAGATTAGGATTTTTCCACTGGAAATTAGTAACAAAGGCACGTGATTTTATGATTCATTGTTGAATTCTAAAATAGTACAGATACCTAAAAACTAATTTTTTTCTCTACATATCCAAATCTCATTCGTTCAAAGATGTTTACATAATAATCTTTACATCTGTTTTGCATTCATCTCGTACCAATCCTCCTCTGATTCACATATTTGAAAAAAATGTATTCACTTACCAGTAAGGAAGCAATGGAGCAACTTAAAACGATACAGCGATTCATATTTCAATGAATATTCAAGAATAATAATTGTCACAACTCAAGCATTAAAAACAAATGACACTAAATTCTTGCGCAATGATTAGATCGAACAAGAGATAAATTATGCGCGATAAGATTGAACTGCACGAGTACTAGGTTGGAGCCTGCATGCAGTAAGCTCGTGTGATGATGACTGAGGCACAGTAAGGCTTTCAACGTTGTTAAACGAGAAATGAAGGAAGAAAGAAAATCTACACTGGGCCCTGCCTATGGTTCCTCCCACCTCCTCGTTCTGGCGTGTGTATCGTATCCCCCCATTACCGGGATCCCCCCCTCAGTGCCGCGTGTCTACTCAGGAATCTCTGGAGAGAATACACTGGAAGCTTCCAGGAAAAGAATAGAAGTAAGTGGTAAGCTCTCTTTGCCCAACACTTTTTTCACAGTGGAGGAATTTCATCACGAATAAGACGATGCTGAGGAAAATTGAGAAAACCGGAAATTTTCAGGTTGGATGATTGATCATAAGAATGTACATGAGGTAGTGACTGGAGGGTGTACGTGAACTGGTGACTCCATCGCATAATTCATGGGATGAGACATTTTTCTTGACTGAAAGAATTAGTCCGTCTTTGCCAGCCACATATGGAGAAAAACATGTTGGAATTTTTGTAGGGAACTTATGAGGAAAATTCAGGTGCTCGCCTATGCTGAAATAAATAAAAATACCATAAAACTCAGGTACTAGCATCACGGTAAGTTGGGTTCATTTGACTGGCCAGGCAAAAATCACTCTGCAGCACCGGGAATTTTACAGTGTAACATAGTACTTTTTCTCGCATTTACGATGCATTGTCCTGGTATTCACTTGAATTTTTCCGGTGTTGCATGGTCATTCTTGCCTGGCCGGTCTAATGAACCCATGTTATCGTGTAGGACCCAAATTTTTCCAGTATTTTTTCTACGTATACAATCAAGAGGCAAAAGCTCGGGAAAAGTAAACAGCTATTTTCGTCACAAGAGCGAAAAAAACTTTTCTGATGAGTGTGAGGGCGGCACACCGACGCGAAGCCGAGGAATGCAATCAAACGAGTCAGAAAAGTTATTTTCAGCCGCGTGACAAACACAATCTTTCTTCGCAATGTCCGTAAACGGCGTTCAACGGAAACGAAGTGTCCGTAAAACGACGTTTTACGGCCAGTGTAATGAAATAGTATATTTCGAGACGAGTGAGACGGAATTTTCACGAGTGTGAAGTTGGCGACCTGAGAGGCTAAACCGACTGTTGCTATAATCATACGAGCTAAAAATTCCCATCTCACATGTATCGAACAATATTTGTTGACGGTGATATTACGTTCAGCGAGTGCTGAACTCTGCCTTTTTTCGTTTACAACTCAACGAAAAAACACCTTTTGAAACTAGATGATCGCGGCAGCAATGACAAGATAGTACATTATGTCATTATGTGATTGTACATTGGTTCCATAATACTTTCTATGGGCAAGTCTAGCTGATTCTTCTCACTTTTCAAGTAAGTTTTTCTCCGTGTATAGGATCATCGCATGGAAATCCCTATGGAAGAACATGTTTTCGAACAAGTCTCTTTTAAACCAATAAAAATGTTATTTAAAAATAACAGAGAATGAAAAATCTTGTGCTGAATAGTTAAACAGTGTTCTTGGATGAACATTTTTCGTAGAAAAAATGCATTTAGTTGCTTCAACAAATTATTATTTTCTAAGCAAGCTAAAAATTAACTCATATTCGAGTGAGCAAATTTCTATCTTGACAGTCTATTCCAAGTTTGTGTTGAACTTAATTGTGCTGTTTCTAGGTTTCCTGAAATAGCTCAGATAGTTGATGATTCAATTGAATTTTTACTCTGTTGACAAAGTGTATTCACGGAGCTGTGAGAAATGTAATATCGTCTGAATCATCGAGGTATGTATGGTTTTCAATTTTACATGGTTGAATAAACGGTTGTTGAGAGAAATTCCTGATGAAAATACTCAATTTAGTAAAACTGATGTTGAGTGGACCTCATTTCTTCAAATACTGGTTTTACTATATTTCTGTAGTCCTCTTATCACAAACAATGTATGTACAGTGGAACCTCCATAACTGCACCCCTCTCGGGGTTTGGGTTCTCGGAATTTGCACTTATGAAAGGACCCTTCTTCGCCAACGAAAGAGGGAGAGCGGTGAGTTAGAAAGAGATGCATGTAGTTTCACGGATAACCACATACGGCGAAGTACCGGGTAAACAGAATACTATTGCGCACAGTCCTCGCGCATTGTAGATAGAGAGCGGAAGAGGTTAGAGAGAGAAGGGGCATAAATGGGAATTGTAATGGTGGGGGAACACTTCCCCTCGTGTGGTCGGACAGCGTGCACCTACATAGGTGAGCAGTTACGGAGGTCCTACTGTATATTGTTCCTCATTTCCTATTCTCTATTGCATAGTTTTAAAATCATAAAGCTGACAAACTACTGAATTTATATCAGGTGGATTTTTTTTCTCAAAATAGTACGTTTCAGTTTCAGCTGGACTCAGATGAGCTAATTCCGGACTTCCTGACGAACAATCCAAGTAATCCAGTTGCTGATTATTGTATTGCTTATCAGTCAGTACGCACATTCACAGAGCCCCTAAAAATATTCAACTGAATAGTCAAGACACGTTGATTCTCTTTTAATCCTCGAAATTCGCTATTGCAAAAGTAAATCGTCCAATGATTCAATCCGTCAAATAATGTCCACATAATACATATGTATCAGGCACCTATAATATTTGTTTTTATTCCAGATTCCAAAGGCAGGCCATGTGAGGCCTCTGGGGATCTTAAGAGAGATTCTTCGAATAAATCCTCGAATAAATTGGAGATTATGTTGTTGAGATAGTGTTTGTTGATTACGAAAACTGTCTTCATATTCATTTCAATTTCGAAGTTAGTTTAATATGTGCTTTAACTGGGGATTGATTTTTGTGTTAATTATTGATTTTTGTCTGATGCACTTGAAATTTAACCCGAATACCGGTTGATTTTTGTCTGATGGACTTGAAATTTGGCTTTACTTGCAATTGATTTTTGTTCAAATTCAAGGTCAAATTTATTATCAGCTGAATACGTCGATTTGTCCACGACACAATGAATTACCTTCTTTTGGACAACTGTTCATAGTTGACTCCGAGGAAGCAGTTAACAGTGTACATACGCAATTTGCTCAGTTGGACCGTGATATATTGAGAATAATTGATCAAACTATGCGGAATAACAATGCCTTCGAAAAATCTTATCATATGGTGGCTGTAGAATTACGTGCACAACAAAACATGAATCATAATGATTTACCAAACAATGAATTTCATTTAATATTTGAATCAGGGGAAAAACTTGATCGCAACCGTTATAATGTTCAACGTTCGAATAAGGTTGCTGCAATTTTCTCCACGACTGTGGATTGAGATACCCCTGAGACTTATGTAACAGTTCGAGCAAAGAAAGACAAAGAAATTAAATTCGTCAGCACTATGGATAAGAATGTCGAACCATGGATATATCCTGTTTTACCCACATGGTACGCCTGATTGGCACATAGACCTCAAGCTGATTTCAAATAATGATGAAAATCAGGATTCGAAAAAACCTAAAACTCGCGTTACCAGGGAGGCCTATACCCGATACAGAATGGCGGTTCGAACTGATGATTCATTCAACCCCATAATATCAGGTCGACGATTATTTCAACAATGGCTCGTTGATAGTTACGTCAAGGTCGAGAAAGATCGATTAGATTTTCTCAGATTTCATCAAAAAGATATACGTGCTGAATCATACGCGGGATTGGCATATTATTTACAGACCGTTGCAGATGATCGTGATGCTCAAGTTGGTAAAATGATAATTTTATCATCTACTTTTGCAGGATCACCTAGGACCATGATGCAACACTATCAGGATGCTATGACATTAGTACGCAAGTTCGAGAAACCTGATCTTTTCATTACGATGACATGTAACCCAAACTGGATTGAAATCAAAGAAAATCTGGATGACGGATCCGGATTCTTCATCGATTAAAGTGCAATCGAAAAAAGCAAAACATTTGAAAAATACAGATGTTTCCATATGAGACGAAGCACCAATGGCTCCGCGTTATGCACTGGATGTTGCAGATCGATTACTACGAGATACTATGGGTAATAATCAACCTTTCGGTGGCAAAATACTCATCCTTGGTGGTGATTTTCGTCAACTCCTTCCAGTTAATATTCATGGAACCAGAAGTGAAACTGTCAATCTTTCAATTAAGTACAGAAGACTGCGGATAAATTTCATCACTTATTCTTTGATCGGAAATATGAGGGTCTTGCCAGGTGAGCAAGAATTCACCAAATTCTTATTGGATGTTGGTGATGGGGTATTGAATGATCCAATGGACAACTTGCGAGTTCCTTCGTGTTGTTTGGGCACTCAGAATGATGATATTGTTAACGATATTTATACGGAGAATTGTTGAAGGACAAGAAATATAAAAGTGAATATAAATATATATAAATATAAATTTGGGAGTAGTAGATCTGTTGGAAGAGAATTCTGAATGTATTTATACAAGTGTAGATACCATCGAAGAAAAAGACAATGATGAATACGCCGGAACAATATTGACTGAATACCTGAATACTTTGTCTCCTTCGAGTTTACCTTCCCATCAATTACGACTTCGCCAATATTGTATTGTTATGCTCATTAGAAATTTGAGCATCAATGAAAGATTATGCAATGGCACAAGATTACTTGTTCTTGATCTTGGTCGGAATGTTTTACGGTGTGAAATTTTAACCGGAGATCAAAAAGGGAACGAAATAATTATCCATCGCATAAATTTATATTCGGAAAACGATTATCCTTTCACTTTCAAGCGACGTCAGTTCCCGATTAAAATTGCATTCGCTACGACAATCAACAAATCACAAGGCCAAATGTTTGATAATTTGGCCAAACTTCAGATTAATATGTCCATTTTTTCCAAAGTTAGACCGCAAAGCCGGATTTTTAGCGAAAAATCGAAAAATTTGAACTTTTCAGGAACTTTGCATAATTTACATGAATTGTGCACATTCCAATTGGTTGGAATAGGAGACATTAAGATGAATATTTTGAAAAAAAAAATTGAAATCGGTTGAGTAGTTTTTAAGATATTGAAGAAAATGGATTTGAATACAAAGTCGAATATCTCCGAAACTATCTATCCGGTTTAGCCCATCTTCAATATCAAACATTTTAGTGCCAAGAGGAAACTTTGTACCAAATTCCAAGTTAATATGTCTATTGTTAGGAAAACTAGAGTGCTAACAAAAGTTTTCAGCGAAAAACCAAAACATAGAAATATCTCGAAAACTTTGTATGAACGGGTGTACATATTTTGATAGATTGCGATAGAAGACATCAAGACGAGTATTTTGAAAAAAAAATTGAAATCGGTTGGATAGTTTTCGAGGTATTCAAAATTGGTTTTTCGTGAAATAATTTTATTATGAATATTGAATCGAACTTCATGAATTAACATAGAATCGGTTCTGAATGGCAATATAATGGGACTAAGAGCTGGAGTTTATTCATACCACTTTAAATAAAGCATTTTATGATGAGTATGCCAATTGCTGGCATCTCATTACAAAATACTTCGAACTACTCTTTATGCCCGTCAAGAAAAGGAACGATATTCGTCGCTCAGCAGAAAAAAATTTTCAGCTCATATGTTAGTAGCTGCAAACTTATATTTGTTAAAAAGGTTCCTTCGGCTGACTGATCAAAAATACAATTGAAATTACAATCACCATATCCCTCAAATATTTTTATTTTTTACTATTACTTTCTTTTCCTATTTAATTGCACGATGCTCATAATTAGCTGAATATTTTTCTTTTTCTTTTTTTTTCCTTTCTCTTTTTCGCTGTACAATTAACACATTGTATATAAAATGTAAATATCATGCTGAAGGCCCTCGAGCGATGACCAGCTGCATGCTTCCGTAAAGAATTCCGTTGACAATAAATAAATAAATACTTTTGAAGTACCCAACAACTTAACAAATGTCCTGATTTTTGACGAATCATCGATAAGTCTTTTCTTTTTTCTCAATATAAATATCTCCTCCAAAAAAAAAGCAACAAAACCTCCAAAATCACCCAAACCAGTGATTTCCCATACATTCCCTCGTCCATGGCGTTTGGCAGACCCAACACCACTGAAACCCACACCCTGCCCGAGTGCACACCATGTGCATGCATCCACCGTCCCTCTCAGTGGGTGTCCTACACTTAGGGCAAGGTTTGGTGGACTTCTGAATAACCTTTTTGCTCGCCTCATCCCACTTGGCATCCTTGGCCCTGTCAGGATCAACAGAGTACCCTCCACCTCCCTGGGTATTTAAGGTAGTTCTCTCTACTTGTCCACACTCCCCTAAATGATATCCATTCAGGCATCTCCTGCAGAAAACGTATCCGCAGCCTCCGATACACTGAATCTTCTTACACTCCTCGTCATCCATCGAATTAATAGGTTCTGGTGGAATAATTCCCATTCCGCAGTCTGGCTGGGGGCACAAGAGGCCGCCAGCTCGAAGAACATACTCTTCAGCCCCAAACCGTTGGTACTGTTCATACTGATGTTGATCTAGCAAGCGAAAATGATGCACTTCTCGTATAAAAGAGTTTGCACAGCCTGCAGGACAAGGAAGTGTGTAGTATCCATTGGTCCCATCGAATTCGAACTGACGCTCTCTCAATTTCACATTGCAGTAGTCTTTGAAACACTCTAGGCATGTGACATGAGCTGCCTCGCATGGAAACACGAGGACAACTTCTTCAACTTCTGTACAAGCCAGACACGGAACTTTCCTCAAGTTTGGGCGAATGTGGTAAAGAGGAATTGCTTTGTCAGTTTCTCCTCTGCTCAGATGATTGCCGCATTTGAAGAAAAACTGAGCGTAGGGAATCTGGGAATCTGAAGGCGAGGAGGAGGAGTGCGATAGATGACAGCTGTCGTTCTCGCAATGGACTGTGATGCGGTTTGGGAGCAGCACGTCCGGCCAGGATTGAGGGTCTCGGTCCACAGTCACTGCTCCCGAGCTGCAGGAGGAACAGCGGACTCGGAGCTTTCCTGGCTCGATTGACTTGCAGGGGGCTGCGCAGTATACATAGAAGTGGGCACGTTTACCTCGGGGTTCTGCACATAAAAAAATGTTGATTATTCAAATTTTTGAAGTTTTTTTTGTGAATACAAATCACAAAGTGATAACATTAGATACGTGAAGACTCTGATTATGGCTTATTTTTTGAATGTCTTTGGAGCGGTTTCAGGGGATCGACTAAACAAGTTCCGGGGGATTCATTGAAAGGAAACACAGTCAACCACAGAGAAAAAACTCTAGCCTCCAGTAGAAATCTCGGAGTTTTCAAACTCTGTCGCACTTCAATCTAACGAGTCAAAAATCCTGGGAATGAGTGAAGTTTCCACGTAATTTACCAAAATTTTCCTCAACAATTACTGGCAAATGTTGGAAATTTTAGTCATTTTTATTTCAATCTAGTATAATGATGTCTATCTGGAGAAACATTGTCTCTTAGTTTAAGGAAATGTTAGTTCTCGAGTTCAGAACTTTTGGGGTCTTGAAATACGAATTTTGAGATTTTTTAATTAAAAACATCCGGATTCTCTAATTCAAACATTTTCATTCTTAATCTGATCATTCTTATTCAGCACAAAACCGGTTGGTTTATACAGTTATTCCTAAATCATTGAAATAGGAATTATTTCAAATTTATTGGATCATTTATTCAGAATATGAAAAAAATTATGAAAAAAGTCTGAAAAAATATATACTTCAGTAATTCACTATGTACTTCAATTTGAACCATTCCTCATATTTTTCACCTGCAGAAATATCGAGCAAAATTTCTAAAAACCAAAAAAATGCCTTCAAAAACTTTTACCAAAGCCTTGCTTCGTTATACTTATAGATATATTCTGCATGTGTAAACCAAAATTTAAAACAATCTATTAAGAATTGCGAGATGAAAATACTTTTGGAGATACCATCACTGAATAAAAATCCAAATGTAATTTTTTCTTATTTTTGTACAATAAAACTGAAGCATTCAACTCATCAGGACGGTATCTAAAGACCCCTGCGATTTTAAAATTTTAGGGCGATCTTCCCGTAACGCTCATTATTCTAGAATTTTATGACATTCATCAAAAATTTTAATTCATCCCTGTTAAGTTATTCCAACAATTAGTGATTTACGAATGATTTTTTAGTAAGATAATAGACCAGCAAAATTACTGAGCTCAATGTAACTCGATCTAAATAATACAAAATTCACAGGAAAGTTTATTCATCCCCTTTGAATTTTTATACATTTCTCAAAAACTGATTCGGGGGGGGGGGGCGGAAATAGACTCATTTCGTTGGACCACTCCCCTGTTGATTATTTGATAGAGTCTTTACTTCCATCTACCATCTTTGGTATATTCATTTTTAATGGAAATGTGTACCTGAAGATTCTATAAGTTCATTCTTCTCCCCTTCATTCAATGATAAATCCGTCAATGTTTCATTCAGAGGTTTACTTCCACTTTCAGTTAATTCCAACGATTCAGTACAAGATTCACTGATCCTTTGAGTATTCGGGGAAGATTTCAGTCTTCTTGGGGGAGTTTTCACAGCATGAAGGATGCTCTGCTGTCCCAAGTCACATTCCTGTACACCAACCCAAAACAATAAATCTGCAATAATCGCGGATGAAACAATAATTGTTCCATCCATGTTACTGTGGTAGAATATTATTCGATTGGTCGTATATTAATTACGGTTCTATTTATTAAATGATAAGGTGGTACATAGCGAAAAAAAGTTCCTGATTTCCGAAACCACCTTACTGGTGATAGACCTCTTACATCAAAAACAGCTATTTTCTGGAATTAAGAATTCTTGTGTTCTTATACGAAGAACATTTAGAAGAGACAAATTTCTCGAATAGCTCAACATTAATGCAATATCATTTCAGTCAAGGTTATATTGACTGAATTGATATTGCATTAGATATTGATATTGAGTCAAGGTTGTATTGAAAGTTCAATACGAAGAATTCATGAAAATGAGTAGTTTAATTTTAGAACAGAAAAACTCATCAATTTAAGAACAAGAATGCTCTTAACTTGAGAACTACGATGTTCGTGGGTGAAGAACCTCAAAATGCTTATTTTAAGAAGCAAAAATTTCTGAATTCCAGGACCAAGATTTCTTCAAAATCAGAAATGTGCTATGATAGAATGAGAACTATAGCAAGTTTATATCTAATTTCAAGGAAAATTTTCGTTAAATAAGTGAAAATTTCATTCATTTCCAGGGTGTTGTGTGTATTAAATTTCAATACAAAAGAGATCTGAAATTCATAAGTGTTTACTGTAAACTGGAAACTTTTTTTCTCTGTAATACAGGGCGGAATTTGAAAGAAAATAAGTCATATCAGGGGAGAGTGTAGAACAAAGTGAAATGTTTGTGATGGACTTTAAGTCTTAATATCTTTGTTTACAAACATTCTACTTTGCCCCAGCTTCCTGCACAAAAAATGTCTTTAATCATAGGAGTGTCATATTCGACGATCTCCGTTTTACCGCTTATTGAAAACTGACATGGACTTACCATTTACTATGCAAATTTTTATCAAAGATCTTATTGGATGATCCTATGGAGGATGGAACAGTACCAATAAGAGCATTAATTTTATTTTAGAAAATCTCTATAAAACTTGCGTTACCTGAAGATTCACATCAAATTTTATTTTGTTCACAGAGCCTCCACTTTTTTTTAAACTTTCAAAACTCTCATAAGACAAATTCTCATTGAAATTCGAGTTTTTCAATAGATAAGATTTTCTATACAAATTTTAGAATTCTTCATACAGTCACCAGTCAGGCTCGTGCTGCATGTTTCCCTGTGACACAATTCTACAATTTTTTATGCGTGACCACTCCAAGATTCTATCATTCAAGAGACTGTCATATTAATAAATACCTCGATAATAGTCGAATTATGAAGCTCCTTCCCAGCAAATATAATTTTGATATCCTCTGGTGCAAGTCCCATTTTCCCCGCAATGACTTCCTTCACATTTTTTATATCCCATTTTGGATCTAAATCCACTGACAACGTGTTGCCAGTGTTTGTTTTGATGTAAATACTGAGAGTATTCGATATCTTACGTTTACCGAACCAAAGTAATTGGAGCATACTTGCAATTGCACTCCTGATGAGCTCAATCAGATAGTTCATTATTTATCCTTCACAATCTCAATTTGAATCAACTTGAAAAACGAGAAAGAACGAATTCTAGTCATAATTAACCTAAAATTGGAGCACTAGGTGGAGGTTATTCGTTGAAATAATTACATTTCTTGAGAGGAAAAGATGGTGAGCAAGCTCTTTATTTTTCATACAGCGCCCCCAAACCTCACTAACAATAATTACATTACAGATTTAGTGGTGTTTACTGACTTGCTGGCGGTCACTTGTTCTGACAAATCATTGACAACGATATTTGTTTGCATTTGTTTACACAATGGCGTCCGGCAGTGGTAAGTGCACCGTTCCGTAATCTCGAATTTGAGAAAAATATTCGACTCAATCAATTATTTATTTATGTCTTACACCAATTCGACTTCGGAAATTATTTTTAAATAATGTTAGGTGATTGCTTTTTTAGAAAATGCCACGGAAGAGAGGATTGAATCGACGCCAAGCCAGCCCGCTGCTAATGTTTGTGACGGGGCGCATGTAAGTGAATTTAACCTCAAAATCAGATTTTAATAAGTGATTAGAACGATATGATAAGGGAATTAATCAAGTAAAATTTTACCAAAATTATTTGAGACTGATTTGTCATTAATTTGTTGATTGATTTTCCACTTGGAGTGTATCTAGGTCGTTTCGGAGCCACAATTAATTAATTGGAACTCATTGATGAGATCCACTAATTGATCATTTTTCTTTCACAATATTCATTTTTCAAAATTTTTACACAAATTTACGGACTTTTTTTTGGCCAACTCAGTGTGAACATCGGCAGTTATATAAATAAATATCCATTACTCCATTTTTTCATTATGATTATGAACAATGGAAAGGGGTTATTGGAAAATTCTAATTTTTGACATTCTTGTGGAGTAAAATTTCAATTTTGTAGTTCTTATAATTTTTTGTGTCATTTGAATAGGTTTTTCCCTCGGTCCATATTGTTACATATAGTTGGGAACTATTTTTGCGATTTTTGATGTTATTCACTAGATTAGATTAATTGGTTTGAGTTTTACAATTATCCGACATTGTCTGTTTTTGTGTCTCTAGGTTAGATTACTCAATTTCTTCCTATAATTTCATCGTTCTAAACATTTTCAAACGCTTCTGGATTTTATCTGTTGTTTTCAACCTTCGACGAACATTCCATAAATGTTAAAATATAATAGGCAATAGTATTGCCAATAAAGTTCTTTTCATCAGTATAAGATCGTTTCTCTCAATCAACTGATAAATAAAAATTTTTCGTGTCACGGGACCAGATAAACCCCATTTTTCGCACAGCGTGATAAAATAGTACATTACATGCCCGACCCTTGGAAAACAGATCACCGTCCCCCACGTGCAAGGTTGCCTTCCGAGCCGAAGGCGAGACAGCTTGTAAGCTGTCGACAGAGCACTGAACATTCGGACATTTCAAATGATAGTAAATGAGAGATATCGGCGGTGTTGCCAAATAAATTAAGACTTCATGGAAACGAGTGCGGTTGATTTCAACTCAACTTTGGGAAATTACAAACTGGGATCTAATTGCATTGGAGTATTTTGGGACATATTTGCCATTGAATTTTTTTGCCATTGGATATTCTAAAATTGGATATTATTACTATTGGATATTTTCAAATTAGATATTTTTGACCGGTGATTTTTTACCGGATATTTAAACCGGATATCAGTTGCATACTAGCAATAGGAAGCTTTATGTGATATGAAGGTCATATGGGGTCATATAAAAGTTGTGCGGGGTCATATGGGTTATATGAGATCATTTGGAAGTTATCTGAGGTCATATAAGGATCGCATGGGGTTATACGAGTCATATGCAGGTCATATGTGGGAATATAAGGGTCATATGGGCTCATGGAGTTATATGAAGTGATATGGGCTCATATGAGGTTCATATAGGGGCTGTATGAGGTCATATGGGGGCTCTATGGGCTCATAAAAGCGTAATACAGGGATCATAAGAGAGTTATATGGGTGTTACTATTCAAATTAAAACAATAAAAAATGAGAGTAATAAATTTCAAAAACAGAGAATCCATTCGGAAGCACATTGCTAATTTGTTAGCAACATAAACTATATCCATATACAGAAAATGCGACTATCCACTTGTTTTATATACTTTCCGAATAAAAATACGACAATACCACGAGGATAAGTAATAAGCCATTTTTCAAGTTTTTTATTATTCAAATTCCGCTGTTACACAGGGGCCAGACGATAATCGAATAATTTTTTTTTCTCGATGATGAATAATACATAACTTGTTGGGGATATTTTAAAATGGGACATCCATATGGAGGTGAGAAAAAAAATTTCTTATCCTGAAAAATTCGATTTTCCGCTCATAAATGAGAAAAATGACTTTTAGGGGTCCAATTTTTGGCAATCACAAAGGTCCGACGAAATAAGGGTTAACTGAAACAGGTGAGTAAGACAATTACAACGGAGGGGTGACGGCTGGGCGAGCTGCCTGTGCCGGTAACTCGGCAATATAGAGCTTCTAGCAAAAGTTTTCCCTTACCAGGGTACCCCCACTCTACGTAATTCCAACTCATATGCTTGTCCCCCACTCCAAAAATCCATGTATATTCTTCTGAAAGAATAGCTCTAGCAGTCCCGCTGTCACAGGGATAGTTTCGGAGGGTAACTTATGCCCTCCTCGTCCTCTACATGTTCTTAATGTTTTTTAGGTGATTCATTTGCTGGCTAATTAATATTAAGGAATGAAACACAGACGGTGTGATGGAGAATTAAATTCCCCATCAATCGATCCCCGTTGCATCCCTTAATCTCTGCAACAAAAAAATACAAACTACGACAAAAGTCATGGGCCAGTGAGAAAAAGAATTTTCTTCTCGGCGCACAGTGACTTTTCACCATTCGCTCGCGAATTAAAAATTTGTCTCTCCCCTCCTAATTGAAATTAAGGGATGAAACAAAGGCTGTTTGAGGGAGAACTAAATTACCCATCAATTAACCCTCTTTCATTCCTTAATCTCTGTAAAAAATGGAAGAAACTGTCATGAAAATCACAGCGCAGTAAGAAAAATAATTGTTTCGCGGCGCACAGTGACTTTTCACCATTCGCCCGCGAATTAAAAATTTGTCTCTCCCCTCCTAATTGAAATTAAGGGATGAAACAAAGGCTGTTTGAGGGAGAACTAAATTACCCATCAATTAACCCTCTTTCATTCCTTAATCTCTGTAAAAAATGGAAGAAACTGTCATGAAAATCACAGCGCAGTAAGAAAAATAATTGTTTCGCGGCGCACAGTGACTTTTCACCATGCGCCCGCGAATTAAAAATTCACCTTTCCCCTCCTAATTCAGATTAAGGGATGAAAAAAAGCCAGTGCGACGGAGAATTATATTCCCCATCAATTAACCCTCTTTCATCCCTTAATCTCTGTAACACAAAAATTAAAACTGCCATGAAAGTCATGGGCCAGTAAGAAAAATCATTGTTTCGCGGCGCACAGTGACTCCCGGTAATTAAAAATTCACCTCTGCCCTCCTAATTGAGATTAAGGGATGAAGAAAAGGCAGTTCGACGGAGAATCAAATTCCCCATCAATTAACCCTCTTTCATCCCTTAATCTCTGTAACAAAAAAATAAAAACTGCCATGAAAGTCATGGGCCAGTAACAAAAATCATTATTTCGCGGCGCTCAGTGACTTTTCACCATTCGCCCGCGAATTAAAAATTCACTTCTTCAATGGACGGCTCAGAATTGCGTTTTTCCTTCTCCTACAGCCTATAAAATGTGAATTAAATAAATTTTTTTTGGGCATTTCGTTTTTCACGATTATCTCGGAAACTATGAGAGATACAGTCTTAAATAGGCAGTCTTAAATAACAGTCTTCTATAGGCAGATGGATGGCTCAGAATTGCGTTTTTCCACTTCCTACACCCTATACAAGATAAATCCTCAGAATCCTCAGNGAGATAGAGCCTTAAAACCTATTCCATTCGATTCCTGAGGAAATTTGGGTTCCGTATAGGCAGATGGATGGCTCAGAATTGCGTTTTTCCACTTCCTACACCCTATACAAGATAAATCCTCAGAATCCTCAGGAATCGAATGGAATAGGTTTTAAGGCTTTATCTCTCATAGTTTCCGAGATAATCGCGAAAAACGAAATCGCCAAAAAAAATGAATTCAATTTATCTTGTGTAGAGTGTAGGAAGTGGAAAAACGCAATTCTGAGCCGTCCATCTGCCTATACGGAACCCAAATTTCCTCAGGAATCGAATGGAATAGGTTTTAAGGCTCTATCTCTCATAGTTTCCGAGATAATCGCGAAAAACGAAAATGCAAAAAAAAATTAATTTAATTTATCTTGTATAGGGTGTAGGAAGTGGAAAAACGCAATTCTGAGCCGTTCATCGGAGAAGTGAATTTTTAATTCGCAGGCGAATGGTGAAAAGTCACAGTGCGCCGCGAAACAATGATTTTCTTACTGGCCCATGACTTTCATGGCAGTTTTTATTTTTTTGTTACAGAGATTAAGGGACGAAAGAGGGTCAGTTGATGGGAAATTTAATTCTCCGTCGAACTGGCTTTTTTTCATCCCTTAATCTCAATTAGGAGGGGAGAGGTGAATTTTTAATTCGCAGGCGAATGGTGAAAAGTCACAGTGCGCCGCGAAACAATGATTTTTCTTACTGGCCCCTGACTTTCATGGCAGTTTTTATTTTTTTGTTACAGAGATTAAGGGACGAAAGAGGGTCAGTTGATGGGAAATTTAATTCTCCGTCGAACTGGCTTTTTTTCATCCCTTAATCTCAATTAGGAGGGGAGAGGTGAATTTTTAATTACCGGGAGTCACTGTGCGCCGCGAAACTATTATTTTTCTCACTGGCCCATGAGTTTCATGGCAGTTTTTATTTTTTTGTTACAGAGATTAAGGGACGAAAGAGGGTCAGTTGATGGGAAATTTAATTCTCCGTCGAACTGGCTTTTTTTCATCCCTTAATCTCAATTAGGAGGGGAGAGGTGAATTTTTAATTACCGGGAGTCACTGTGCGCCGCGAAACTATTATTTTTCTCACTGGCCCATGAGTTTCATGGCAGTTTTTATTTTTTTGTTACAGAGATTAAGGGACGAAAGAGGGTCAGTTGATGGGAAATTTAATTCTCCGTCGAACTGGCTTTTTTTCATCCCTTAATCTCAATTAGGAGGGGAGAGGTGAATTTTTAATTCGCGGGCGAATGGTGAAAAGTGACTGTGCGCCGCGAAACAATGATTTTTCTTACTGGCCCCTGACTTTCATGGCAGTTTTTATTTTTTTGTTACAGAGATTAAGGGATGAAAGAGGGTTCATTGATGGGGAATTTAATTCTCCGTCGAACTGGCTTTTCTTCATCCCTTAATCTCAATTAGGAGGGGAGAGGTGAGTTTTTAATTAGCGGGAGTCACTGTGCGCCGCAAAACAATTATTTTTCTTACTGCGCTGTGATTTTCATGACAGTTTCTTCCATTTTTTACAGAGATTAAGGGATGAAAGAGGGTTAATTGATGGGTAATTTAGTGCTCCGTCAAACAGCCTTTTTTTCATCTCCTAATTTCAATTAGGAGGAGAGAGACAAATTTTTAATTCGTGGGCGAATAGTGAAAAGTCACTGTGCGCCGAGAACAAAATTATTTTTCTCACTGGCCCATGACTTTTGTCGTAGTTTGTATTTTTGCTTACAGAGGAATGCAGCGGGGATCG